TCCAGCGGTAGCACGACAGATCTTTACACTCACTCGGTGAGACGGTATGGTGACACCTGCGCAGGCGACGACGAGTCTGTGGAGAGTTTTTTTTTTGTCTGTGCCATCAAGACATTTTTTTTTTATATTTTATAAAATATATGTATTTGAAGGTAAACAATGTCACTTTTAAAGAGCTGTATCAGATTGCATCGTATCACACCGGATTGTTCCATATTAAAATGCATTGTTCCTGTATAGTATCATAGCCCATGTATCTAGATACATTTCAGATCATCTCAGAAGGGAGAGTTTCACACTTCCAACCCTTTAAAATCTGAAGCTTTGATGACCAGTGGGAACCAGTGACCAAAATGATGCGTTCATGGCTACCATGTTGTCATAAGGTGCACCCAGTAAGCGTGCTAAAATGAAATACCTGTGCTACAGTTATACAAATCCATGTCCTTTGCACTTGATGTCAAGCCCAGAGGACAAGCCTTTATCCATCTGCCTACCACCTGCCTTATTTTTTAGTTTTCTGTGTGTGAATAGCTTTTTAAAGCTTCAGCTTCAGCATCCAGACCGAGTCGATAAGATCAAAATAAACGATAGCATGGCAGTGAGAGGGATACTGCTTCTAAAAAAATAGTTTTCTTTTGTTCAGATAACCTTTGGTTGACTTTTGCTTTTTATTAGTGACATGGCATGTTGTTTGCCCGAGGTCATTTATCAATATATCATGTCATCCTTCTCAACAACCACCTCGCTCCTGAAAAACAGCAGGCAGGACTGTAAGCTCTGATATTGAAGTGAAATCCTTTATTTATCTGGTATCATGCTCTGAAATGAGGACTGCAGGACAGTTGTTTCCAACACGGCAGAAGAAACTGTGAAAAATTGAAGAGTAGGAATATGTTTTTTGGTGTTTTTTTTTTTTCTCTCAAAACTGAGTGCAGAGATGATCTGGGGACCTGGTGTGCTAGAAACAGTTTGACAGTCTCTTGCAAATCTCTACTTTGGTTGTGTGGTGGTACAGAGGCGAGAACTGTATGTACTGTGAGTAGGAAGTTAGGCAGATAGGTACGGCTGGATAAACAAACATATTGGGTATTCTATATAAAACCACCTCCAAACACCTTGTTGCAACACATAGTTAGAAGATCCTCTCCTTTTCTTGTCTAAAACATCTGAGCCATCGTCGTGATCTAGCCTGATTATCCAGTATTTGTCCTTGTGTCCCCCCTTTAACCCTTGTGATTGGCCAGGTCTCATTATAGTATATTCTTGAGCCTATCCTAGAGATATAATATGTGCCTTGTTATCAACAACAGCCCCACGCACTTGCCTCCCCCAAACTGCTGAACAATGATGTTCTTTAATGATGATTTTAATGATAAACCGGGAAATATACCTTGGGGTTAGAACCCCTATATACATTATAAAGGCTCCAAAGGAAAGAGATTAAAAATCTATCATGCGTACCCCAAGGGACTCATATACTGTGGATCGGCAGGAGGGGAATTGGAAAGCCAAGCTAAGCATTTTCTCAAGTGATTATTCATAAATAGTGTGCAATACAGACAATCTATGTATTCTATACCTGGAGAGGATGGAGGGCAGGCAAAGCCTTCTCATTTAAATGCTCAAAGTGTATTTTTTTATTTTGAAAAAATGTGCATTGGTGTGTCAAACTGGATGGTGAAATGCATCTAGCTATTGAGGAATGGAGCTTTTTTAACATGGGTGTTTATGGATGGCTCATCCAGATTCGATTATTCAGTAATTCAGATGTCACAGGTTTTCCTCAAGCTCCAAAAACCATGAATCCAACACTTCCCCATAATGCATCTCACATGTCTCATCGTGCCGTTATAATGTCATATTGTTCAGGCTGTAATTCCGGGCAGCCAAGTCATTCCAAGCTATGATTTTTCCCACTTAAAATAACTACAGCACATACCGATGGAAACATAGTCGCAAAGCCTCCACTTATGTTCAATGTAGACAAAAGCATTTGGTACCGACCTCTTTTCATTGATTTCAAGGGGAATCCGACCAGGCGGCAGCCATTATGAATAACTACAATCTTCTCACTGATGCTCCAGTTTGGTTTTGTAGGTCATATAGAAGCATCTGTATTAAATAGTCTGTTTCATCAGGAGTTAAAAACTCCTTGTAGCCTGTTTCAACCGCTACAAATACATTAAACAGTAAAAGAAGCTAATTTGGGCTTTTTATGGGGTGTGAATGCAGGCTAAGCAGTGGGGTAACATCTTGGAATAATGTTGCAATTATAGGAGGTTTTCCTGTTCTGTTGATATTGCGTGAATGCAGCTTTAGAGATTTCGCTGACTGGTAAATGCCCATGTCTTTCAGTCTTTATGTGCCCAATTTACAACGCAGGCTTTCTGTTAATGATTTCTACTGTAGGTTCAGGGGCCAAGATGCCACTATCAAGGGATGCTGCCTAAGTCATTTTCTCAGGCATTAGAAAGCTTTTCCAGAGCCATGATATACATTTTCCAAATGTTTTTTACAGGCTGAGAGGTACTCATGACTAATAAATGTAAAATTGGTGTTGTATCTCTTCACAAGTGGTCCCATGGAGACTACATTATTTGACATCCTTAATGAATTGCATTGCTTGCATTACCTACATGTACCCAGCTGGTCCTCGAAGTAATTAAAAGTAGTAAAAAAAAATTAAACATAATGTATTATTTACAGTTACTGGTTAACCCAGGTTTATTGTCTGTGTTCAGTATGAGCAGGATTGGCTACACCATTAGCATAAGCAAGAGAGGGATCTTGTGAGATGTTGTGAGAACTAACGGTAGGTTTAGTCTAGCATCATGGGCAGATCATTACATCTTGTAATAACTGACAAACTTGGAGTCAGATAAAGAACAAACATCCAAACATGCACTAGAACACGTTATGTTGCACATGTTGTGCGTTGATGAAATCGAAAATAGTTCCTTGCGGGTCCCTTTGGTGGCTCTGACCTCCTTCTAATGGCCTAATTATAATCATTAGCTGTAAAACTGGGGACTCTTTGTAAATAGGAATTACACTCTGTAGTTGAGGCCTCTGGTGTAGCTTCCTCTTACTGTTTAAAAAATAAATATAAAATTCAGTGGATCTTCCACTAGGAATATCCCAGATTTTGCAAAGCAGGATTGAGGCTATGCAAGTTTTCCTTCTGAGCACTGATTTTAACCTTTACCAGGGAGAATAATCATTCTGTGAAACCACTGTGAACAGCTGGAAGACACCTGCCTCTCAAGGATTATTTAACTGATTGGGAAGCTCATCAGTTGAACCTCATCTGGAGGAAGGTGGCTAGGAACTTTAATGAGGTCTACAGATTTTTGACAGGATTTCCAAGGGACTAAAATCCACAACTATTTGATCCCAAGTAAATTTTGGCTTATATACACTGTAATGTGATAAGTTATTTTAACTCAAAACAGTTGTTGAAACTGATTACATACAATTTTTAAGTCACATAAAGTCAATTTTGTAAGTTAAAAAACATTCTTTAAGTACTTTTTACCAGGTATTTTGTTTTCACAGTACAAATAAAATGAAGTCAGTATCGCTTACAGTTACTACAGCTACTTGATCAAAAATGTGTTTTTAACTTACAAAATTTAGTTACTTTTACTTAACGTAATCAGTGTAAACTATTTTTTTGATTTAAATAAACTTATCTGGTTTTACAGTGTAAAAGTGGATAATGCAGCCTTCTGAGTACCTTTTGCAGAGTCACATTGTACAGTGTAAAATATGTCTATTTATGTCTATTTAATTATGTCTATTTTAATTCCAGCTCAAAAATTCACTATATCGGTCGCCATATTGGCACTCGGTGAATTTTTCCACTCTAAAATCAGTAATAGCCTAAAAAATAATATCGGTCAGACTCTATGTGTGTGAACTATTCAGCAGTCTCTAAATAGGCTATAAACAGGAAAGTTGTCTTTTTCACAAACCTCACGAAACCAGGATAAACTGTGGTACTTGTAAGGTAAAATTAAACAGAACTTTGCTGATGAAAACTATTTTTTGTTGACTAAAACTAGACAAAAACTGACAAAAATAAGGAAATAATAAATAACATTAAGTCAAAATCGGGTGCTAAACTGCACACTGATAGAAAATCTCTGTTATGGAGGAACAAATAATCTGGTTGAAGGTAAACCTCAATAGTTAGTCAATGAATAGCAGTTTTATCAGCTAAGAAATGTTGTGTACAAGCTGATTTAGTACAGAACTGAACACATTAACTGTGTAACAAAACCCCTTGAGCAAAAAAAATGTTTGTACCACTTGTGCAGACAAGTTGCTCAGGGATTCGTAAACTTTGTGGCAATTGAGTAGGATGGGAAATTGACAGGTTGCGATGCCCAATAATAACCTCCACCTCCAGTCTTTTTTTTTCAATCTTTATTTATCCAGGGAGTTACTGTACTCTTATTCATCAACACTCCGGCACACATTCATAAAGTTCACTTCATACACAAAAAGATGCCCACCTGGAAAGTTTCCAAGCACAATAAGAAGTCTGTCACTGAGTAGCTGCACTGGGAACAGAAAGGGGTTAAGTGCCTTGCTCAAGGGCACCTGGAGATATGTACAGCAACCTTTTATCACACTCAAGCTTTATTAGAATGTCTTTTTATATAATTTATTAGATGCTTGAATGTTCATTGTATTAGCTTGCTATACGTACAATGCACATTCTTTATGGAGTGTCATGCATGCCAATACCAAATACACAGGTACAATGTATATAATTTATTTGATGGTTTAACATGATAATCTATTGAAAAAGGAAGAGAAACATACAGAGATATACAGTATAAATCTAAGCCTAAATACATTTTGTGGCAGCACAGAACATTTCACATTCCATTATGGGACCAAGGCCATACAACACCTGAAGTCTTTGATGACTCTTTTTTTTTGTTTGTTTTGTTTTGTTTTGTTTTTTTTGTTACTTTTTTTTATTTTTAATGTAGGCTCACATGGCATAATGTCATCTCTAAAATGAGCAGTTGGCAGCTCTTATAAGTGAGTTTGCAAAATATCTTTTTAAAAAAATCTTCCCAAGTTACGAATTGTAGTTGCATGCATGATAAACAAGTAGCTAGAGTTTGTAACAGTTACCGTCTCGTTCACTTTTCAACTGCACTAATGAGTTTGGTTAATTTTTCCGAAACAAAAAGACTCGTACAATGACCAACTGCAAAAACGTGCTTTTAAATCTCAACACATGACCCGAAAGTAATCGTTTAAATCCAAGTGAACCAGTAAGCCAGGAAGATTTTTTTTCTTTTTTTGGACAGTTTCGAAATTTCAGGTACAAATTTCCTCGTCGAAACTACACAAAGCAGCTTGAAACATCTCTGCCTTGAATGCATTTGAAAACATTGCTTTGTGCCCAAGACCAAAGCCAAAGCGTCCTCTTAAAGTGTGTTCAAAAAGAGCAGCGAGTGACTTTTATTGGCGCCAATGGAAAGAGTTCGAAAACTGAACATCCCGCGGCTTTATGAATTGTTTTTATAATTATACAGGAGAGGTTGTAGGGAAAAAGTGGGAGTTTCTGGTATGACTCCTACGCATCCATTGCTAGCTAGCTAGCTAGCTAACTGCTAAAGTCCAGTTGGTCCATTGGCTGTCGAACTGTACAGCAATCGAATTCGCTTTCTTTCTGAACACACCTTCAGCAAGATGTTTTGGCTTTTCATACATATAGATATAATTTAATCTGTAACCGGAGCTTTCTCGGACCCAGGTAACATGTTCGCTGCGCCCCGTCTACACAGTAGAAAACAGGACAAGAAAACCAGCGAGAAACTTGGGGGGTCGCTTGAACGTGGAATCATCCAGAAGCCTGATTAATCAGGGTTGAGGTTTCCAGAAAGAAAATTGCATTTGTGCAGCAACAATCCAAGTACAATACATTCAGTTCTTAGTCATATATCAATTAGTCTGTACACATAAAACGTTACAATTTTTTAAGTTAAATTGATCCCAGTGACTCCAGCTTCTCAATCACAACAGAACTCAATATTATAGTAGCTTAAAGTAGCTTTTTTCCCCCCCACATGTATTCTTGTACATGCACAGTGTATGTATGTCATGTATCTATGACTGAACAAGAATGTTTCAAAATTTACATCACCGTCCGTGAGTCGTAACCGCTTGATTGCTCTGCGACCTTAGGTGGAATGGCACACAGTTTATCAAAAGAGTCGGGCAGGAGAGCTATTTTTATCCACAAAACTATTATACGTTGACATTTGTCCATAGTCGAGCAAGCGGCACAGAAAATAAATGGTCTTCCCACACCCTTCCTCTCTCCAGCTCTCTTTATCCATTTCCCATCGCTCGCTCTCTTTTTCGCTCACTCACACACACACACACGCGCACACTCTTGAAACCCCCTCCCTCGCTTTCTTCGCCGCTCGCGACGTGAGAATGGGCGTTTACATTCCGATGGAGAAATGATGACCATGGCTCATTATCCTCTCCCTGAAGAATGGATCCAATACATTCAGTGCTAGTATGTGCTTATTAGTCGACGGGGCCGCTTATCGGGGCCCGTGTGCGGAATCGGTGAAATCCGTTTGCATCACTTGCTGCTGTATGGTGGGGCATACAGTAAGTCTAGAGTGCAGAGTGAACGTACATACATACGGTGTCTAGTGTGGAACTTTAACATGGTCGGATGTTTGAGGAGAAAGGTACTCAGAGCGCCCCCCACCCCCACCCCACTAATGCTCAAAAACTAAACTGATGCTTGAAACTGGCCTATTGATGATTTAATACTTTTTTTTCTCATCTTTTTTTTTGCACTAAATATTCTGACAGCCAGTATGACAATCACAAAATGCTCAATATTTGATCATTTTCATTTTGGGGTTGTACACACAGTATATACATTTATGTATATACACACTTATGTACTTATATACAAACGATGGGTTTCGTTCCTCCACTCTATCACCACAACAGAGTTATGTTAATAAATAATAATAAAAAAAAGAAAACCAACAAGACGGGTTAGGAAATCAAATGAATACCTGAAGACACAGAGTACAAAAATATCATAATATTTTCATGGGTTTGAGTAACCATGTTGCCCAAAAAGGCCCTTGGCAGTTGTTAAAGTTAAAGTCAGACAGTTTCGAGAGGAGGTTTGATCAATTTGAGTGCAATTCTGTCATGCTATCACTTTGAAGCGCTGTTGCGAGAAGGTAGAAGTGAGAAAATGGCAGTTTCATTCGTATTTGTGCTTTTTTTTTTTCTCCTCATCAAATTACCAAAAAAAGGATATTTCAGTGACACTTTTCTTTGTCAAGAAAAAGATGCCAAATAGCAAAACATTTCAGAACCTGAGTCACAATCATCCTGAACAGAGGGCAAAATCCTCTTTACTTTAAATTATTGTTTGGGTGAGGGTTTACCAGATCGATGCGTGATATAGTTAATAGCAAGTATACTGTATATTCTAAATAAACAAATACAGTCTTCTGTAAAGTTGTGACATAACCCAAGGCAAAAAAAGGAGTCGTTTTTCGTTTTTCTCACTATGGCTGATCATTACATGCATTAATAGTGCATAGGGTACCAGTCAAACATACACTGGTTTGTTTAATGGACTTTTTTGGAATTGCCTGCACTTATCTGACCACCTGTGTAATATAAAGTTTTCTTACTTGTTTTTTGTGATTAGAAAAATTCTTGCGTTAACTGCTATTGTGTTTTTTTGTTTTTTTTTTGCAAATACTGTATTATTTATTCAATTGCTGGCTTTGTATCTCTCTATTTACACATTACTGAGAGGGCAAATGTTGGGAAATGACTGTCACAAGTCCCAATTACAGTACATACTTTAGAAAATAAAAAGACCTTGGTACTAAGGATTCAAAGACTGCAAATATAAAAACAATTTGACGAGAACTTGGTCCAAAACTCCGTAGTCTTTTCTCAGTCAGCTTCTTTTTTTTTTTTGTCTTGTAGTGTTGCAGTCTTTAACTTGACCGATTCCATCGTGTATAAAAGCAACAGGAAAAAAAAGGAACAAAAAGGAACAAAATGAAAAAATAATCAAACAACAACACACATTTCAACAAAACAGACCATTCAGACGTAGTAGAGCCAGTAGATGAGGTTGAACAGTGAGAAAACTGAAGGGAAGATGATCCGTGACCAGCGGTCGATGGCGTTCACATCCGTCAGGTCAGGGATTTTGATTTTGAGCTGCGAGGCGAGGACCGGCCTCCGGCAGGCGGCTGCCGTTTAATCTGGGCGGCCGGTCCAAGGATGGCGGCTGGCGGAGCGCGGGCCGATCCCGCCGCTCTGCTTGCGGTACTGGATGTGTGTCGAGGCCGTGCTGTCCAACTGCACCATGGACTGAGAGTTCCTAATGTCTGCCACGCTGGTGGTGATCTCGCCTCCCGCCACTTCATTATGGATCTCCAGGGTGGTTAGCAGGATGTTCCCGTGGCCATGTGTTTCCGCCTGAACGGATAAAGAAATTAGAAAACTAATTAACAACATTATGTGAAAATAAATGGAATGGCTAGAGAGGGCATTACCTGGAGTTAAGACACTTAAGGCACTTTGCACATTGCATTCAAGACCATGAGATGTGGATGTCATGGAAGGATTATGCAACGGGCTTACCGGGCACAGGCCAAGGGGCCCCAAGGGGGTCAGCGTCTGTTTGAAGTGACTGTTCACATTTCTTGTTGGAAAGATTCAAAATGGCTACAAAGAGATACAACACTTTTTAAATGTGAAATTGATGCCATCCCACAAAGCAATGAAAATCGTCCATGGGACATTTTTTCTAGTGCTTTGCCTTTATTAATTATCCTAATTTTGTGCAAAGTGCAGATTTGGAGTGTTTCAGGCACAGCTTCTGTCACTCAATGGCATTTTCTAATGGCAGCCATTCGTAGCACGTCTACCAGATGACCATTCAAGATTTCTTACAATTTAAAATGACTAAGCAGCACCACTGGGCCACTACACCATTGGCTGCTCCGCACGACTGAAGACTTTCCAAGAAATGTGAGGGAATTATTTTTTATGAATGATTAAAATAATCCAAAATGACCAGGGGAAGGAGAAATGAATTGCAGAGATAATCAACAAGACTTGTGGAACTCCCCTCTGAGTGAAGATTTATCTTTTTTCCGGACTGAACGTAAGCTCACATCATCATTTTCAACAATTTAATCAGACACATAGGAGATGCATCATACCCCATGCCTAAGATGTGTGCACCACAGAACAAATCAACAGCAATGGACAATGGTGATCATTCGTGCAAATGTAGCAACTGTGGAAGTCCCACATTTCCCTTTTTTTTTTTTTAATTTCAGTGTTTGCACAGGTTAAAGAGCCCTTCAGGTGTATTCAGACAGAAAGCAAACTTTTAACTTGAATAAATAAATTTACGTCCATTCCTGCCCACATGCGTCCCACTGACTTTATACACAGTGACTAGAATCTTCTTCCCGTTCTGTCTGAACACACCTTTAAAAGGAAACTTACTTGTGGTAAGGTTTATTCAACCACGCCACTGAAAAGCATTTTAAAAGACTCCTTCCTGGAGAATCCTGGCTGTTGCCATTAATGCAGTGAAGAGGCATGATAGGGGACCTCTGCAGTGACTACCCACTGAAAGTCAGACTGCTTTACCACATCCTCACATGCGCAATGTCGCTCCATGAAAGCTGTGCGGGAAATGTGGCCTTTTTTTGATGATTTTAATGAGAGACGATACACAGACGGCATGCATTCAGGATGACCTCTGAAAGAAGAAACGGCTTCAGATCTGAGACACCAGTTTTACAATGTAAGATCGAGCATGAACATCATTTCAATGTGGGAAAAAAAAAGTCAAAGTCAAAATGAATACTCCTGAGAGTATGGCAATGTCATGAAGATGTCTGCTGTCGCTTGATTCATTCCATGGATGGGGAAATATTTTGCATTGACGCAAAAGAAAAAAGAAAAGAAAAACATCCATGTCAACGGATGGCAATGGCAGAGTTGACTCAAGGATATTGAAGAGTCTCACTGAACAAGCAACTCACCGAGCGTGAGTGGCGAAGACCTTTAACCTGATTGGACCGTTTTAGGGACGCGGTCCTACTACCTGCCTCCTGAGGAGATGAAAATATTCAGCCACATTTTGGGAACAAATACCTGAAAATTGATTTTCTTTTTTAAAAACCAACATTTTGGCTACTGAAGGCTCCACCGGGGGGTACAGACGCCTATGAATAATGGGATAATTATGGAGAACATTTTCCTTTTGCTGCTTCTACTGTCAAGAGCTGACAGAAAAGTTCATTTGACAATAACTGCAGTGTCAAGGCTGTCGTATCATTCATGCTGGGAGGAAGAAAAAGGAATTTGAGTCTTAAATAAAGGAATATTCATTCCAGCTTCCTTGATACATCGATCCCACAGGCCACTGGCTTCCACAAGTTGGGGGGGAAAAAATCAACAAATATTAGCAACAACAAATTCAACATTCTCACCTTGAACATACACATTTATTTCCTGATTTACTTTTAATCCAATCCACTTTTTAATTCAACCCATTCATCCATCGAGCCAAACAACGAGCCAAACAACGAATCCCAACTCACCCTTGCAGCGTCGTACTTGGCCGCCTTCTCGTTGTTGGCTTTCTCGGCTTTCTCCGCTAGCTTCTTTTGCATCTGAGGGCCCCTCCCGAAGAAGATGTAGTTGACGAAGGCGTACTCCAGCAGGGCGAGGAAGACCATGACGAAACAGCCCATCAGATACATGTCGATGGCCTTGACGTAGGGGATCTTGGGCAGCGTCTCTCTCAAGTGGGTGTTGATAGTGGTCATTGTCAGCACCGTGGTGATCCCTTTGATTAGGGAAAACAAAGACATGGTATTATTAGTGTCATTTATTACTAAAAAGCATAAAAGAACCAGAGGAGCTAGGACCGCCATGAGATAACGATGAAGAAATGTACAGTGATGAGTAATACAAGCATACACATACATAGTGTTAGCAGCACTGATTTAGTATCGTGGAAAGGTTAAAGTTTAAAGCTGCACCAATCCATATTGTTATAGTAACAATGAAATGAATGACTACTTGTAAAGTGACAGGGGTTGCTTGTAGTGACAAACCTACAGAAAATTATCACTTGCCTTTGCAGTTCCCCTTAGCTCTTTTGAGCGTTTTAGCGTCCTTAAAGTCATTGTTTTGGTTTTACAAGCCACAACTTTACCGCTTCAATTCACTCTGACGCTCAGCTGTTTCCAGCAGCAGGCAGCTGTTTTAAACAAACAGTATTAATAAAACCACTGTACACTAATTAACAAACAGCTGCTAAACACAGTTAGCAACTAGCTGGTGAGCATAGTGTGGCATTTAACAGCTAAAGAGACATATTTTTAAGAGTTGGTGAAGGCCAGAGCTGGAAGGAGTAAATGTTGGACAAATAGTTGGGTGGACTTCCTTAAACACGACTCCAACTGAATTGCTATGTGTCTGCTGCATGTGTAAATACGCAACTGTTAGCTAACACGTTAGCGCAAACTGTGTTAAAGCCCCTAAATACTTTTTAACTTTTAACTTTGGTTCAGCATTTCTCTTTGACCTTAAATATACATGCTCAAATATGCAATGATCAAAGCTAAAGTTTGTGGAGAAAAACCCAAATTAAAATGATTAGGAAGTTTTAGAGTCAAAAACTTTTTTCCAGTGGAGCCACTTCCACTTCCAATGGAATTAATGTAGAATCACATCACTCATAGCATCAGAGGTAGCATTACCTGGCTAGCTAGTTGTCAGCTGCATTGATGTTTTAGTTTATGTCTGGGGTAATACAAATCATCTTATCTCACTTTAAAAAGAAAGCAGAAATAAAAGAAAAACTCTTCAATCCTCCGTCTAATTATTTCCTCCTTTCTCAACTGAAGCTTTTAAACAAACATACAGTAAATTCTACCTGATTAAATCACACAGCATCATTTAAAATAAAATGTGACACTAACATTACTTTTTTTCCATCCAAGTCTGCCTCATTACCAAGCTTGGCAATCTATCTGGGATGTTAAATTTGACGCTTAATTAGTCCAAACCTTTTCTGGCATAAGCCTGCCTTAAAGGAGCCACCCGCCATTCTAAGCAGATGCTGCTATCTTGTCAGTAACCTTAAGGTCACGTTGAACTCCAACAGATGTCTTAGGTGTTACTATAGAAACAAGGATATTTTCACAGAAAACATGTTTTTTCTGTGTCCACTTCCTCTGTTGGTAAAGAGCAGGATTGACAGCCGGAAAAAAAAAAATCATGTTGCTCTTTGATTGCCTTTTTCAGGTGTCAAAGAAACGGTGCACATTACAGTATTTTGAGCACTCTTATATGACAACTTCCTGATCGTTGTCATGTGTGATCTTATTTTACATGCATGAACACACACAAACTAGTAGATGAGTGCATAACCTCTGCTTCATTGAAATTCAAAGGTCTGCCTTGAAACCTCCAAATGCCCCTTGGTCATCAAGTAGAAATAACTCATTAGAATAGTGCCGCATGTATCTAGCCCCCAGCTCTTAGTAACCTTAACCACGAGGGTTATTTGCTCTGTCCCAGGAAAGGCACCTTCGCACCTTGTGTGTTTCAGTGAGAGTGAGAGTGAGAGTGA